ATCTATGTATCTATCTATCTATCTATCTATCTATTGTTTATTTATTTTTGAGAGAAAGACAGACACAGAGCATGAGCAGGGGAAAGGCAGAGAGAGAGAGGGAGACACAGAACTCAAAGCGGGCTCAGGCTCTGTGCTGTCAGAACAGAGCTCAATGCTGGGCTGGAACTCAAAAACGGCGAGATCATGACCTGAGCTGAAGTTGGTTGGACGCTTAATCGACTGAGCCACTTAGGCGCCCCATGATATATTATTTTTTTTTAATGTATTGTTTGGATTTGATTTGCTAAAATTTTGTTGTGGATTTTTTATATCTTTGTTTATTAGGGATACTGGCCTATAGATTTATAATATCTTTGTCTGGTTTTGGTTTCAGAGTAATGCCTGCAACAGAGTGGGTTTGGTAGTATTCCCTCCTCTTCAGTTTTTGGGAAGAATACCTTAGAATAGGTATTATTTCTTTTCTTTTTTTTTTAACTTGTTTTATTTTTTATTTTTTAAAATTTACATCCAAATTAGCATATAGCACAACAATGATTTCAGGAGTAGATTCCTTGATGCCCCTTACCCATTCAGCCCATCCCCCCCACCACATCCCCTCCAGTAACCCTCAGTTTGTTCTCCATATTTATGAGTCTCTTCTGTTTTGTCCCCCTCCCTGTTTTTATATTATTTTTGTTTCCCTTTCCTTATGTTCATCTGTTTTTTCTCTTAAAGTCCTCATATTATGAAGTCATATGATTTTTGTCTGACTAATTTCACTTAGCATAATACCCTCCAGCGCCATCCACATAGTTGCAAATGGCAAGATTTCATTCTTTTTGATTGCTGAGTAATAGTCCATTGTGTGTGTGTGTGTGTGTGTGTGTGTGTGTGTGTGTGTACATACACCACATCTTCTTTATCCATTCATCCATCAATGGACATTTGGGGCTCTTTCCATGCTTTGGCTATTGATAGTGCTGCTATAAACATTGGGGTGTATGTGTCCCTTCAAAACAGCACACCTGTATCCCGTGGATAAATGCCAAATAGTGCAATTGCTGGGTCATAGGGTAGTTCTATTTTTAGTTTTTTGAGGAACCTCCATGCTGTTTTCCAGAGTGGCTGCACCAGCTTGCATTCCCAGAATAGGTATTATTTCTTAATGTTAGAATTTACTAGTGAAATCATCTAGATATGGGATTTTCTTTGTGAAAAGATTTCTCACTGCATTCAATTTCTGTGCTTGATAGATAGGGCTGTTTAATTTCTCTCTTTTTGAGTAAGCTTTGGTAGTTTGTATCTTTCAAGGGATTTGCCCATTTCACCTAAATTATTGAATTTATTTGCACATAGTTTATAATATTCCTTTATTATACACACTGCTACACTAGTGTGTGGTGATGTCACTTCTCTCATTCCTGGTATTGTTATTTTGTTGAGGTTTTTGAGAATCAGCTTTTGGTTTAATTGATTCTGTTGTCTTTCTGTTTTCTATTTTTGACCCTTGTTATTTCCTTCCTTCTGCTTACCCTGGATGTAATTAGTTCCTTTTCTAGTTTCTAAAGGCTTGTTGTTTAGAAACCTGTCTTCTTTTTTATAAATTTTTTTTAATGTTTATTTATTTTTGAGACAGAGAGAAACAGAGCATGAATGGGGGAGGGGCAGAGAGACAGGGAGACATAGAATCCGAAGCAGGCTCCAGGCTCTGAGCTGTCAGCACAGATCCTGACACAGGGCTTGAACTCACAGACCCGTGAGATCATGACCTGAGCTGAAGTCGGATGCTTAACCAACTGAGCCACCCAGGCGCCCCACCTGTCTTCTTTTTTCGTTTAATCTTTTAATGCTATAAATTTCCTGTTAAGTACTGCGTTAGCTGCATCCCACAAATTTTGATAGTTTTTACTTTCATTTAGTTCAAAATGTTTTCTAATTTCTCTTATGATTTCTTCTTTGAACCATGGGTTACTTTTCTGTTAGTGGTTTCTAGTTTAATTCTGTTGTGATCACAAAACATACTTTATATGATTTCAGTCTTTAAATTGATTAAGATTTGTTTTATGGCCCAGATTATGGTCTGTCTTGGTGAATGTTTCACATACATTTGAAAAGTAGGTGTATATTCTGCCATTGCCTCTGGTAGTATTCTAAAAATATCAGTTAGGTCTACTTGGCTGGGAGTGTGGTTCAAGTTTTCTATACCCTTACTAATTTTCTATTTAATCAGTTATTATTAGAATGATATGGAAATCTACAGCTATATTTGTGGGTTCTTCTGTTTCTTCTCCCAATTCTATTTGTCTTCATATATTTTGAAACTGTGTTATTAATTGTATATACATTTGTAATTATTATAGCTTCTTGATGAATTGACACCTTTATCTTTATGAAGTCTTTTTTTTTTTTTTAATGTTTACTTATTTTTGAGAGAGAGAGGGAGAGCAGAGGAGGGGCAGAGAGAGAGGGAGACAGAGAATCCCAAGCAGGCTCCGTACTATCAGTGCCGAGTCTTATGTGGGGCTTGAACCCATGAACAGTAAGATCATGACCTGAGCTGAAAGCAAGAGTTGGACACTTAACTGACTGAGCCAACCAGGCACCCCTGAAGTCTTCTTATTTATTGCTGGTAGTATTTCTTATTCTGAAGGATAATTTGTTGAGTATTAATATAGCCTATCCAGACTTATTTTGATTATCATTTACATGATCTGTTTCTGTTCCTTTACTTTTTTTTTAAGTTTATTTATTTATTTTGAGAGAGAGAGAGTGCAGGAGAGAGAGAGAGAGAGAGAGAGAGAGAGGAAGAGAGAGAATCTCAAGCAGGCTTTGCACTGTCAGCAGAGTCCAATGTGAGGCTCCAGCTTATGAACCATGAGATTATGACCTGAGCCAAAACCAAGAGTTGGATGCTTAACTGACTGAGCCACCCAGGTGCCCCTCTTTTCTTTGACTTTTAACCTTTGTCTTTATATTTCAAGTGGGTTTCTTAGAAGTAGAATTTTACTTTTGGATTTTACTTTTTTGTCCAATCTGACTTTTCATTTCAGTCAAGCCATCTTAAATGCTGTTTCCTTTGATTTTTGGTACTTTCATTTTTCTACCATTTGCTCTTAGCTTACTTTTTCCATGAAATTTAATTTGATTATAGTCATTTTGACTGTAGCACATAGTTATACACACACACACACACACACACACACACACACACACACACACACACAGCTAATAGTTTCCCTGTTAGCACAACTATATATAACCGTAGATGGCTGGATATATGTTAGTGTTATATTTGTATTTATGGGTAATTTTTTGTCTACATCTCCTGCTCTAGACTATTTTCTCTTCATCAGGAATACATCTTTTGTAGTTTTCCACATGCTCTCTAATACAGTATTCTTAATACAGTGTGTGGGTACTCAGTTGCTGTTTGATGAAATATATCTTACTAATTATGTCCATAGCTTCTTGAAGGTGTTCAGTTTTTCTTTGGTACTTTATTTATGGTAGTTTTGGGGATGGTCCACTGGTAAATTTCTCAGTGATTCTTAGAAGTTTTATTCCCAGAGTTTAGCTATCAAGTTATGTGAGTTTATTCAATTTTCCTTTTATTTGATAGGGTCACAGGTAGAGTAAGTTGTTTCTTATTATCAAATTCTTAATCAAGGTCAGCAGTGGCTTTATGATCCCAGGGTGTTGCCTCACTTCATTCAGTCCTGAACCTACATACATTTAATTAATGGCCTCCCCCAAAGTGGGTGGGTTGGAAGTGTAGGTAGTGTGACTGTATGCAGTCAATGCCGAAATAGCCCAGTGGCCAAAAACATTGGTGATTAGATTATCTCAAGTCTGGAAATCTAAAGTTAATATTGTTATTGCGAAATTTGTGAATTGCTTTTTGCCTTTTCCTGATCCTGGTGATCCTACTTACTTTGGGAAGGCAATTCAAAGATTCTTCCTAGGTTTGAGCTTAATGCTGAGATTGGGTGCCAGAACTACTTAAATTTTTAGTGTGGGAGATAGATAATGAGGAAACCCAGGACACTGGGTTTGCAGTTAAATCGAACTTTTAGTTCCTTATGTTTTGCCTTTGCCTGAATGACTATTTTTATAGTCATTTGTGCCGAGGCTGATTTTAATAGATAACCATGTGGTTCCTGCTACTTCCTGTTTGATAATACTACGGGTATGAAAACAAATTAAACTAGCTTAGCTATTACATCATATTCACCTGAAGTCATGGGGCTTTGAACATGTTCTTTGAAGGCTACCCATTATGCAAATCCATTTTTTTTCCATATTCTCAACAGCAGTTTGCATTAGATATCTCCTTCGTAAATAGTTGTTGAGGACCTGATTCTGAGTGGCTTTGCCCTGCACCGCAGCAGTATCTCCTGTTGGCCCTTAGGGTTGCTAGTACTCAGGAAACAAGTATGTCATCTGTGCTCTTATGTATAGCATTTGTGTACAGGATGTTTTTCCTTTCTTTCAGTCTTCCTCAGTTGGCATGAAAAACATCAGAAGTGATGGAACATTCTTTCTGTTATAACTCTTTCCGAAACATATCATTTTAGCAGTGTTACAGAGTCCCTAATAGTTGTATTTGGGTTATCTGTTATTTTTCTCATTAATTCAACCTTAATAGCTTCATTGAAACTATTTATATATATCTAAAGTTCATATACTAGTATAGTTTCTCCTACTGATTCCTTTTCATCTCCTTTATCAATAAATTTTGGAGTGCCCAAAGATCAGTCCTTGGTTCTCTCTTCTTTTCTGTCCCATTTTCCAAGGTAGTGATCTTATCCAGTCTCATGGCTTTGAATATCTTCTGTATGCTGATGGCTCCCAACTCTCTTTTTTGTTGTTGTTGTTGTTTAACTTTTATTTCATTATCATAATCTTCACTCTGCAATCCAGCTAGACTTGGAGGGGAGTAAGGAAAACATGGAACCCGTGAAACTGCTGCAAGAACACAAAGATTATAGGAGATTTTGACAGATGGAGGTGGAGGGGTGCTTTCCCAAGCTACAGAAGGAATGGTCTAGTAGTTAAGGTAAAACACAAATCAAATTTTTTAGAATTGTCCACAGTCAGCAGTGGTGATCTTCTTGCTGGTCTTGCCATTTCTGGACCCAAAATGCCTCATGGCTTCCACAATATTCATGCCCTCCTTCAACTTGCCAGACACCACGTGCTTGCCATCCAACCACTCAGTCTTAGCAGTGCACGTGAAAAACTCGGAATCATTTGTGTTGGGTCCAGCATTTGCCATGGACAAGATGCCAGGACCTGTGTGCTTCAGGATGAAACTCTCATCATCAAGTTTCTCCCCATAGATGGACCTGCCGCCAGTGCCATCATGGCTTGTGAAGTCACCACCCTGGCACATAAATTCCGGAATAATCCTGTGAAAGCAGGAACCTTTATAACCAAGTCCTTTCTCCCCAATGCTCAGAGCATGGAAGTTCTCTGCCATTTTTGGAACTTTGTCTGCAAACAGCTTGAAGGATATGGAGCCCAAGGGCTCACCATCCATGGAGATGTTGAACATGGTGGGGTTGACCATGGCTGGGCAGCATGGGCGGCTCCAGGGTGGTGGCGTCTGCAAAGCCCCAATTCTTTTTTTTTTTTTTAACTTTATTTATTTATTTTGAGAGAGAGCTAGAGAGAGCACCAGCACCTGTGTGGGGGAGGGGCAGAGAGAGGGAGAGAGAGAATCCCAAGCAGGCTCCATGCTGTCAGTGCAGAGCCCGATGAAGGGCTCAATCTCACAAACTCAGACCTGAGACTCATGACCTGAGCTGAAATCAAGAGTCTGACCTTAACTGACTGAGTGACCTAGGCATCCTTGATAGTTCCCAGTTTAATCTCTGGCCAAGCCCTGTTCCTTGATCTCCAGAACTGTATATCCAGCTCCAACTGTATATCCACATGTCTAATAGGCAACCCTAACTTAATATGTCTCTAACTGAGCTTCTGATGGTCCGCCACAAACCAGCTTCTCCTGCAGCCTTCCCTATCTCAGTTAATGCTAGCTCCATTCTTCTCATTGCTTGGACCAGAAACCTTGGTGCCATTCTTGATTCTTCTCTTTGTCTCACACCCAGCGTATGGTCTCTCAGCAAATCCTGTTAGCTCTGTCTCCCAAAATGTGTCCACATTCGACCATTTATCACCATTCCTTCTGCCACCATCCTGCTCCATGTGACCACCCTTTGTCTGGTTTTTTGAAGTCACTTAACTAGTCTCCCTGCTTCTGCTTTGCTTCCCTACTGTCTGTTGTTAGCACATTGCCAGAGTAACCCTGTTAAAATTTCACTTAGTTCTTATAATTTTTCTGTTGAAAACCTTCCAACAGTTTCCCATCTTACCCAGAAAAAAAGCTAAAGGCCTTAACTATTACGTATAAGAACATGTGTGATCTGATCCTCCATTACATCTCCATTCTCATTTTCTTTTGTTCTCTTCCTTGTTCACTCTGTTCCAGCCATGTGGCCTTTTTGCTCTTCCTTGAACATGCCTTTCCTTCAAAGCCCTTATACTTGCTGTTCAGTCTCTGTAGAATTCTCTTGCTGGTATCAGCAAAGCTAACTTTCTCACTTTGGGTTTTTTCTTTCTGAAACCTTCCCTGGCTAACTTACTTGTTTTCCTGTCTCCTGCACTGGAATGTCAGCCTTATAAGGGTGGAGATTTTGTCTTGTTTTGTGTACTACAGAATTCTGAGCACCTAGAAGTAGTGCCCGGCACATAGTAGATGTCCATATATTTAAAAATAAATGAATGAATAAATGATACTCATTCTCATAATACCTCTTAAAAAAGAAGATAGTAAGCTAACAGCACTACTAGATGTCAAGTTATGTTGAAAGAAAGAAGGATGGAAGGATTGAAAGGAGGCTGGAGGGAAAGTAAGGATTTGGAAAATAATTTGAAATTTCTCAAAATATAGGGCAATCCTATAAATATATGAATAGCAGTACTACTTTATTTAAATAACTATTTTAATATTTTTCCATGGAGCCCACAAAAATTAGTTACTACCATCAGTAGGAAACAGATTTGAACATCCAGCTGTGTTGTGAACCAGGAGATAAAGTTCTGCTCTCGATTAAGAACTGTGGACAAGTATTTCAGATGTCACTGAATCATTGTGTAGTTGAAGAAGGGTAACAATATGTCTTGGTTTTCCAGGAAGAGTCTTGGTTTCGTTGTTTTGTTAATTATTAATAGGGTGGGTTTTTAATTCTCTCCAGAGTCCAGGTCTGAATGGTAAGTTATAAGGGCACCCTATAATCAAGGTGCTTGCTTCTGGCTAGTGATTGTAGCAGAAATTGAAATTCATGCATCCTAAGAAATTGTGACTTCCCAAACCCCTATTCTGGTGACTAGTTGCTTTGAGAGACCCCACCTTTCAGGGTGGCACTAGTAAAACCTTGATTATCTGGCATATAACTGGAGAGCTTAAGAAAATGGTGAGTTTTTTTCTGTGCCAGTATAAGTACATGTAGAAAATATATGTATATTACACTATATGTATATTATTCTACAACTTAATGTTCTGTGTTTTTGTAGATAGATGTACTTCATTTTATCAACGTAATTTCTGTGTTTTGTCAGTTTTCAAAAAATCAGTATAAAAAAAACAACGTATAGGAAACTTGCCCATATGAAACCATAAGATAAGCAAAAAGAATGCTTTTGATATCTTAATCACAGCTAAAGAGTGCAAGATACATGGCTTACTATTTATGGTATAGAAATCCTTACATTGGGTTTCCACATTAGCAAAAAAGTAAATAACTCGGGCCAACTTGCCAAAATCTGGCCTAAAGGGAATTTTTGAAGAGAACTCATCACCATAAACACATGTACTCTATGCAGAAATTCTCTTAAGAAAGAAAATAAGGAAATGCAAAGAAGCAAAAAGAAAAATTCTTCATGGTAAAATGACTCAATCACTGGTAACAATGCATTTCATATTTCTCTTTTAATAAGTTTTGTTAGTTTGCCTATTTTTATATGGTCTTAATCCTACTGTATATGTAAATGTGCATCCTGTATCTCCCCCTCCCTGATTAATATTTAATATTTAAATATTTAATATATTTTAGTATTGAAATAGTTAATATTTTAACTATTTTTCTATGTGTTTTAGAATAGATTTCCAGAAGAGGAATTACTAGATTAAAAGTAAAGACTATTTTAAAAAGTTTTTTGATATATATATTGCCACACTGCTTTTCCTGAGTATTTTACCAATTAATACGTTAACCAATCATATCTGATGGTGCTTATTTCATCACACCTGTGCTTGGGTTGGGAATTATGATTTTTTAAAATATTTGTGATTGCAAAAACAAGTAAAAGTTTCCTCACTTAGAATTTGCATTTCTTTCATTTTTTTGTGACCTTGTACATTTTTCTGTAAACATATTACTGATTGTATCCTATTGTATATTAAAATATAATTTTGTAGCTTAAGAGGGCTCCATGTAGGGGAAGACATTCCCTTTTGAATAAAACTTTAATAGAGCATGCTCAGCACGTTCATGATGTGCTGTTTCTTTACGATAAAGACAATTATTCGTTTTTAATTAAGGATTAATTACCCAGGTTACCATATTGAAATTAACCTCAACAGCTGCAAAATCCTTTCCAAAATGCTTAATTAGTAGAAAACAATTCCCACAGTGGGGAAATGTGGCTTCCTATTAAGAAATATTTATCTAGCTAAGTATGTATAAACTATATCTAACAGCGTATATGTATATATATATATGTATTAGGTTTTGTTGATTTCGTTGAGTGCTAATGAACAGCAAACTAATCATAGAAATTTTATATTTTTATCAGGAACAGTTAACATTTACTAAAATAATACCTTAAATATTTTCTTCTTTTCAAGGTATCATAGACGTCGTAGGAAACTGGATCCTCCAAAAGACAGATGATATTGAGGTTTTCAGGAATCAGAGATGTTATCTTGTGTCTTATTTGCCATTTGAGAAAATGCAATTGAGTGTATTCACTGTTATGTAGCAAAACAATAATAAAATGTCTTTTTATGTCTTAGAATGTCTTAGAATGTCAATTTCTTTATATATCTTAGGTAATTGTGGATTTGACATTCTTATATGCGGAAACCTACTTCATCTTATCTTGCCTTTGAGATATTAAGGTATACCATTTATTTTTATGTATCTAGTTGTGATTAAGTATTTTTACATTATCAGCCAAATATTGTTAGTACAAATATGATTCATAAAAATGTGCATGGTTCTCCTTCACAGGGAGATTTTTTAATTGTCTTTGAAAAGAAACTCATGGGGTCCACCCAGAAAATAAATGTTATGATGTTTTCTTTCTTGTGGCTTCTAGGAAATAAATTCTAGTTGACCCTTGAACCACATGAGTTTGAACTGGTCTGCTTATACACAGAATTTTTTTTGATAAATATAGTACAGTACTGTAAATGTATTTTCTCTTAAGATTTTCTTAGTAACATTTTCTTTTCCCCAGCATTATTGTAACAATATAAGAATATAAAATACATATAACATGCAAAATACATGTTAATCAGTTATGTTAATCGGTGAGGCTACCAGTCATCATAGGCTATTAGTAATTAAAGTTTTGGGGAGTCAAAAGTTAGACATGGGTTTTTGACTGCAATGGGGATTGGTACCCCTAACCCCTTTGTTCAGGGGTTAACTGTAGTTACATTTTAATTAGTTTCTACTGCTTGCTAGGTCCTTTACATATATATACATTATTATTAAATTCTCACAATAATCCTTTGAAAAAAGATCATCATTCCTACTTTATAGGTAAGGCCAAGTGACTTTGAACTCCACTTACCTAGCAAGTGGAGTGGGAGAGCCAGGATCCCAAATGGTCTGGTTCCAGAGCCTTTCTACTGTGCATTACAGTGACAAAGGGTTATTTTCTTTTACCCAAGAATGTACTTTCCTTGAAAGGATATTACAGAATTTGTTTTAAATTTTTTTTTTCTGGCTGTTTTAGAAATTATGCTAGCTTCAGAACACATGCAACTCTGTGGTTAAAATGTTAATATCACTAGTGTGATGAGAATGTTAATTGATTATTTTGCTGTTGGTTGTCACTACCACCTTATATGTGATCCTTAATGGCATTGCTGCCCCTGTGATTTCTGTTTAGGACGTGAGGAATCTTTTAAGAAGGTGGAAAGGTGCTTTATTGAAACTTGTAAAATATTTGTGATATTTTAAAATCTGATGTGGAAAATGGTTTCATTGAAGTAAAATTGAAATGAAATTCATTGAAATGAAAACTTCATTTAAAGTCTGTTGTTTTGGGATGCCTGGGTGGCTTGGTCGGTTAAGTGTCTGACTCTGCATTTTGGCTCAAGTCATAATCCCAAATCTCAATTTATGAGTTTGAGCCCCACATCAGGCTCTGCACTGACAGCATGAAGCTCCTTGAGATTTTCTGTCTCCCTCTCTTTCTGCCCTTCCCCGACATGTGCACACGTGCTCTCTCTCTCAAAATAAATAAAAACTTTTAAAAAATAAAATAAAAAGTCTATTCTTTAATCTAGTTCTTTTAATAGAGGAACTCTCTCTGAAGTTTCAAGTATTCAGTAAAAATGTAAGGAATAATAAATAGGAAAGGATTAAGGAAGTAATAATGGCCACCCTCTGTTACCAAAAGGAAATGTTTTTAAGTGGCTTCCTTTTATCATTAATATATTAATGTGGGGGAAAGAGCAAAGAAAAACAGGTTGATAGAACTTACGAATCAGAAATTTTAAATATTTACCAGCCATGTTCAGTGACATATTTTTGAAAAATGATTAGATTTTTTTCCAGTTGATTTATATCCAAATTTTTACAAAGATTGAGATATGCCACATTATAAAAGTAGGAAGAATAAAGAATAATTAAATTAATTAAAAACTTTTTTTCTAAGTACAAAGATGTACTAAATAGAGATTGTTTGATTGTAAGATGCCCAAACCACACATCCACATGTCAATGCTTTGGAGAATTAACTTTGATTTTATTGTACTGGAACTACAGGTTAATACTGTAGATGCTAGAATTTTGGCTTTCATGGATTGCTGTTATTTAGTTTGCTAAGTAAGTACATATTCCATCACCACCATCACCTCCTTCCTCTCTGCTCCTTCCATTCTCTACCCCAGGGGTAGTAACTTATCCACCATCACAAAAATTTTAGCAAAGGTCCACTTACTTGTCTCCTTTTTTCTAGAAATTTAAAAACTGCATAAGGTGGGATGGTCCTTTAAAGGGAATTCATTCAGTCGTGAAAAATTTTCCAGTTCGCATGGTTCCATTGATGAGGTGGATTAACACACCTCAAGCTGATAGAAAAGCATTGTCAGTGAGCCACCAGAGGGCACTCTTAGAGTTCAGTTCAAACACTGCTTACCCAAAGGCAGTAACAATGTGCTTAATTACCAGAGACTATTTGGATGTTCTTTAGGTAAGAATGTCTAGTAGAATAAATGGGAGTAGTGAAATTATGTGTTGAGATATTCTGAGGCCATTATTCATTCTGTTGATCTAGTCGTCAAGGACTTACCAAACCTCTAATACATTTGAAGAGGCATTATACTTTTTGCCAGGCCAACAGCAAAAAATGGTCCCTTCTTAAGGATGATAATATCTACTTAACTAGTATCTACTGAGCCACTTAATTTTTATAATGATGTTTATAACTTTTTAAAAATGTTTAATGTTTATTTTTGAGAGAGAGAGAATGAGTGGGGGAAGGGCAGAGAGAGAGGGAGACACAGAATCCAAAGCAGGCCCCAGGCTCTCAGCTGTCAGCACAGAGCCTGGCATGGGGCTTGAACTTGTGAACTGTGAGATCATGACCTGAGCCAAAGTTGGACACTTAACTGACTGAGCCACCCAGGCACCCTTATAATGTTTATAAACCATAAACATAATGCATTATTATTTTTTAATTAAAAAATAAATAGAAAATAAAAATTTCCCATAATTGTCCCTTGTAAAGATAACACTTCAATTTTTGCTTCACTTCTTCCCACTTATTTCACTGCATAAATATATTTCAAAGAGTAAAAACAGTATTAATTATGCATGCTGTTTTATAACTTGCTTTTTTCATTTAATAGAATTTTTTTTGCCATATCATTAAATACTGTCATTTAATGAATGCATATTATTCTATAATCTGGATGTCATAATTAACTTCCTCACTGCTTTTAGGCGTAATCATTGTTTCTCTTTGTTCCCTATTATAAATAATGCTGTTGGAGTGCCTGGTTGACTCAGTTGATTAAGCATCTGACTTTGACTCAGGTTATGATCTTACTGCTCATGAGTTTGAGCCCCACGTTGGGCTCTGTGCTGACAGCTCAGAGCCTGGAGCCTGCTTCAGATTCTGTTTCTGTCTCTCTGCCCCTTCTCTGCTTGCATTCTCTCTCTCTCTCTCTCAAATATAAAATAAAACATAAATAATGTTGTTATTAACATTCTAGTGGATATTTTTCCTTTTTTAAAAAGACTTCATTTTTTAGAACAGTTTTAGGTTCACAGCAAAATTGAAAGGGAGGTACAGGTATTTTCCATGTCCCCACACATGCATAGCTTCCCTTGTTATCACCATCACCCACCAGGATGATGCATTTGTTACAATTGATGTACCTACATTGACACATCATCACCCAGAGTTCATAGTTTACATTAGGGTTTACTCTTGGTATTGTACATTCTGTGGATTTTGACAAATGTAGAATGTCATATTTCTACCATTATATTATCTACAGCATAGTTTTATTGCCCTAAAATTAGTGTCTGCCTATTTATCCTCTTTTCCTTCCTAACCCCTGGTAACCACTGATCTTTCTTGTCTCCATAGTTTCGCATTTTCCATAATGTTATATGTTAGAATCATACAGAATGTTGCATTTTCAGGTTGGCTTCTTTCACTTCGTAGTGTGTCTTTCCATAGCTTGGTAGCTAATCTCTTTTTAGCGCTGAAAAACAGTCCACTGTCTGGACATACCATGCTTTATCCACTCACCTACTGAAAGGTTTGTTGGTCACTCCCACATTTGGGAATGATAAATAAAGCTGCTATAAACATCTGTGCACAAGTGTGGACATAAGTTTGCATCTCCTTTGAGTAAATACCAAGGGGCATGATTACTGGATTGTAAGGTAAGAGTAAGTTTAGTTTTGTAAGAAACTGCCACGTTTGTTTCTAAAGTAGCTGGACCATTCTGCATTCAGACCAACAGTGAATAAGTTTCTGTTGCTGCACATCCTCACCAGCATTTGGTGATGTGAGTGTTTTTGGATTTTGACCACTCTAATAGGTGTGTAGTTGTATCTGATTGTTTTAATTTGCATTTCTTTGATGCATGACTGTGGAGCATCTTTTCATATACTTATTTGCCATCTGTGTATCTTCTTTATTGAAGTGTCTGTTAAGGTCTTTGGCCTATTTTTTAATCAGGTTATTTGTTTTAATCGGGTTATTTGTTTAATCAGGTTATTTAATTGGGTTATTGTTGAGTTTTAAGAGTTCTTTTTATATTTTGTATATTAATCTATTATCAGGTAGGCCTCTTACATATATTTTCTCCCAATCTGTGGCTCGCCTTTTCATTCTCTTCACACTGTCGTTTCACAGAGCAGAAATTTTTAATTTTCATGAACTCTAGCTGATTAATTTTTTCTTTCATGGATCATGCCTTTGATGCTGTATCTGAAAAGTTATCATCAAACCCAAGATCATCTAAACTTCCTCCCATGTTATTTTCTAAGAGTTTGATAGTTTTGCATTTTACCTTTAAGTCTGTGACCCTTTGTGTGTGTGTGTGTGTGTGTGTGTGTGTGTGTGTGTGTGTGTGTGTGTGT